TTACATGGGTTGCTATAACAAAATATCACAGACTGGGTGACTTACACAACAGAAATATAATTTTTTTTTCAGTTCTGGAGTCAAAGTGTTGTTAGTGTTGGTTTCTGGTGAGACCTCACTTTCTGGCTTGTAGATGTCTCTCTGCACTCACATAGCCTCTTCTCTGTACTCGTGTGAAGAGAGATAGAAAGAGATTTCTGGCATCATCTTCTTGTAAGGACCAGTCCTATCATGTTATGACCTAATTTAACCTTAATTGCCTCCTTAAAAACCCTATCTTCAAATGCAGTCACAATAGGGGTTAGGGCTTCAATATATAAATTTTGGGGAAACATAATTCAGACCAAAATAGTGTTCATTGTAGATTTTGTAAATTGTCTTTGAGGGTGAAATGATTGTCCTCTTGGAGAAGAGAAAGGATACTGATTGAGGGTCAGCTGAGTGTCAGTCATTACTAATTCATGATCTCCTTTGACTCCTGCACAACCCTGTCATGAGAGAAGATTGAAGCTCACAGATGTTATAATCACCTGGGTAGTAAGAGGTCAACAAAGCATTCAAACTTTAATTTATAAGTTCATGCTTTCATATCACTAAATAGGACTTTAACTTGAAATCTTGCTAAATTCCTAGGACTATGTCTTTAAACTTAGAGTTTCCAAGAAGTCTGCTTGGCAGGTTCATTTGGGAGTCCGAGAGGGTCTCTGAATAGGGAATCGATATGATCAGAGTTTTGTTTTGAGGAGGTAACTGGCCATGTGGGTGGGTAGGTGGGTGACTGAAGGTCATCTAGAAGCCTGTTGCTATGGTCCTGTTGAGAGATAATGACAGGCAGCATGGGGCAATTGAAAAAGTGCTATATTCCCATGGCATTGTAAGGGCAGAGTCAGGCTTTGGTAAATGATTGAGTTCAGGTCATGGGGCAAAGGGAGGGAGTCCAGGATGAGGCCAAGGATAGCACTGCCGTCGGCAAGAATGAACTTAACCTGTGCCCTGGACATTCTGGTACCCCCAAAGCTCTCCTGGCCCCTATTCTACCAGATTGTGAAGAGATACCCCAGGAAAGCTTGCAACTGCTTAAAGTCCAATGTCCCCCTTTGGGGAGATGTTGGAGAGGACTTCTTGAACTTAAGGTTAATGCAGTTAATCATTACTGATAATTATGTTCTTAATAGTACAACATTAGGCTTAATAATTTATTGAGTGAGAGATGATAAATGAAAAGATAATGGGTTAGGACAGGCAGGCTGTGTGCAGAAGGGAATTTTGATTAAAAGTGAACTATTATTTCCATTAAGCTTTGAGGTGAAAAAGGTGGCTGTTTCTAAACAGTCTGCTTTCCTCCCAGTTTTCCCTTCTACTCCCCCTCCTCCTCTCCTTCTTTTAACTCACAAAGTATTTTAATGTTTATGCTATAAGGGGGACAAAGTGCAGTCTGGGGCAATAGAACTTTTGATACCATGAGAATTCCACTTGTAGGCAGAGGCAATAGCAATTTACTTCTTTATGCAAAATTTACGAGGTCCTATTCTTTTAACAAAGGCAAGCATGCCTATGTTGTATAACCATTTTAAAGTACAGATAACAAAAGATTAAAACTCTTAAGTGGCAATATTTAAAGCACAATTCCCCTTTCTTCATGAATGGCATCCACCCAGTTGCTCAAGCCCCAATTTAGGAGTTACCCTTGATTATACTTTCCCTCATTTCCCGCATCTGACCCACCAAGAGGCTCAACAGCTTTGTTTTTGAAACAGATCCCAATCTGTACGATAGTCTTTGTCTCAACTGCTACCACCCGAGACCAAGCTGCTGTCCTCTCTCACCCAGATGCAACAATGGCCTCCTACATGGTATCTCTGTTTTCTTCCTTCTCCCCAACACTACACTCTCCATATGCTTGACAGCAATCTTTAAAAGCAAATTAGATTCTGTCTCTTCCTTACTTGAAACCCTCCAGTGGCTTCCCATTACACTTGGAATAAGATCCATACCTTCTAAACTGGCTTGCTAGGACCTATGTGATGTATCCTCACCCCGCCTTCCAACCTCATCTCATACTACCCTCCATGCTCACCACACTCCAGTCACTCTGGCCTTCTTTCTGCTTCTCAACCATGATAACCTTCCCAATAGAGGGTCTTTGCTTTGTTAGGATGCTTTTCCTTTAATTTTAGAATGGTTGACTTCTTTTATCATCCTGATCTCAGGTTTGAGGTCACTCTCGCAGAGGGAAATTTCCCTGACTCTCCAATCTAAAGCAGTCGTTCTATCATACCTTCTCTATTCTCTTCACAAGTACTTACCCCTCTTGGATCTTTTCTTTCTTTCTTTCCTTCCTTCCTTCCTTCCTTCCTTCCTTCCTTCCTTCCTTCCTTCCTTCCTTCCTTCCTTCCTGCCCTTTCTTTCTGTCTCTCTCTCTCTCCTTCTCTCTTTCTCTCTCCCTCCCTTCCTTCTTCCCTCTCTCTCCTTCCTTCCCCTTCCTGCCTTCCTGCCTTCCTGCCTTCCTGCCTTCCTGCCTTCCTGCCTTCCTGCCTTCCTGCCTTCCTGCCTTCCTGCCTTCCTGCCTTCCTGCCTTCCTGCCTTCCTGCCTTCCTGCCTTCCTGCCTTCCTGCCTTCCTGCCTTCCTGCCTTCCTTCCTTTCGTTTATTTATTTATGTCTCCTCTGTTAGAATATAAGCTTCTGGAGAGTAGGGATTTTGCTCAGCAGAATCCCCAGTGTCTAGAATAGTGTTTGACAGATTGAGTAGATGCTAAGGTTAATATTTGTTGAATGAATGACGAAGGCACTTACACTATCTCCTCATCATTCTGGAGACCTCCTTTTGGCCTGGCCTTCAGGGATCTCCCTCTTCTCTGACATGGCACTAAGCACGCACTGCCTTATTTTGGGTGTAAGGTACAGTTAGGACAGTTTCTTGAAGTCATCTGTCTTTTGGGACATAAGTGTTTTGTTCCAGATTTGGACCATTTTGGGAACATTAGATAAAGAAGTACAAGCTTCTCCATATCAGCTCAGCAAGAATGAGGATAATTACACTAGTTTGATATTTATCAAATACTACTATGCCATGTCCTCCTGGGTATAAAAGGACTCTAGAACTTTCTGGAGTTCTCTTGGACCTCAGATGTAATAGAGTTGATGGCACATTATCATGACTAGTCTGTGCAAGAGCCCTCTCTTGTTTCACCCAATATTTTCCCCTTGATCTTTCATTCACAATCCCATTCCCCTTCCCCTTTCTAGGCTCCTACTCTTGGGTATTTAATACATGTCCTTCCAATCTGTATTCTAGCTATGTATTGATGCATATGTATATCCTTGAAAAATGCAGTGTTTTGTACATGTGTCTATGGAGTCTCTGGGACCTTTGTAAAAAATAAAAACACTGTATCAATTTAGAGAATTATTTTTATTATTAATCTCATCTCTTATTACTTGGGGGTATGTGGAATTACAGAATTTAACAGCTAGGAGTCACTTGGAAATCACTGGCTCTGCTGCCTGCCTTCTCTGAGAACTAAGGCCCAGAGGCTTCCTTTTAAATGATTCCTTCATCAAACTGTTGCCTTTTACTGAGAGTCTGTATTGGTCAAGGTCTCAAGCCAGAAGTGCTGGAGGACACAGAGTTGAATGACATAGGCCCTGCTCCTGAAACCACAGCCTCTTGAGAGACTTCTAGAGGAGTGGGTGGGCCGTGAGCCTTCCCAGGTCTTCTTTGCTATTGAGTGTTGGGCTTACAAAGGACTCACAGATGATCTGCTTTGAGGATACATACCCCTGTCCCTTCCCCGTGTTTTTCTTTTCATCTTCACGATTATTACCCAAGGAGCCACATCCGCCTTCTGACCAGTGGTGCCAGCACAGTCAAGTTCCTGACCTGCCTCTACTCTTTCTTGTCCTTCTCTTGATTGACATGTCTTTCCTCTCCTTGGCCCACCCTTAAGTGTCCTGGTGGAGCACAGAGTCCTCACCATACTCTGTCTTTGTGTTTCCAGATTGGAGCTTCTCTCTTTGCCAGTAACATTGGAAGCGGACACTTTGTGGGGCTGGCGGGGACTGGAGCAGCTGCAGGCATCGCCACTGGGGGCTTTGAATGGAATGTGAGTAGCACTCAAGACAGTGTGTCCTCAAGCTTGAAGGAAATTTAGCAGTAGCCAGTCCAATCTATGTTCAAAGATACTCAGAGTGTTAGGGAACCTCTCAGGGCCACCCAGGATGCAGACGAAGGAGGGGCACAGTTTCAGAAGCCCCAAGGTCCTTCTCCCCTTCCAGTAGAGTAGCATGAAAAAATCATTGACACGGCAGCAACAGTGTTTCTTTCTTCTCTTAAAAAGCCAAACCCTCCTGTACCTTTTTGGCTATATTGGAGGTTTAGAAATGCTTACTACCAGGTTTCCATTATTATTATCATTTTTAAAAAGGTCTCCAAATGGTATTTTAATCCTTGTAAACCAGGGATGAGGCAAAAGGAGCTGTGGTGTTGGTGGGCAGCTGCCTGTGGTCCCCTCCACGGTTGCCTGGATGCCATTCCCATGGGCCAGTTAGGCAGCAAAGGCTCCTCCAGTCTCTGATGTCCAGCTAGGGACATCAGTGCCCAAAGAGAAAATGCTGGGTGATTGTTCTGCAGCAGCTAAGGGCCCTCCAGGCAGCAGGTTGGGATAAGGTTCCTCCTGGTTTGACTCCACCTCTTTTTCAATTTCAGGCCCTGATTTTTGTGGTTGTGCTTGGCTGGCTGTTTGTCCCCATTTACATTAAGGCTGGGGTAAGTATCTTTTCTGTTATTCTATTTCCAAGATACAGACAAATATTGTATCTACATGAGCTTGGTCCTCCTGGAAGGCAGAGGAGACTTTATGGGATAAATGGCAGAGAAAACCTGTTCCTTGGCTTTCTTTCCCAGGTTATAAAGTTCTTGACTGCTCTTAGGGGCATTAAACAGATCCACTCAGTCATGACTTACTCATCTCTCTAGGAAGCTTTCCTAAGCAATCTCATTTCATTCAGAGGCGTTTGAAGCATCTTGCCCCTCACTCCGGGTGTATATTTATAAGGCACTGCCATACATTTGCTCATGATATATAACTGTATGCCTCTGTCTCTGGGAGGGAAGCAGCATGAGAAAAAGAACCATATTTCCCCTTCATTCACCTATATCAGCAGCTCTTGTTTGCTGAGAATGCAGCTGGTACTCAACTATCAACTGGATGCTTTATCTTTCTTCAAAAGCTCTCTGACATTTTACCAAAGATAGCTTTAATGTCATTTCCTCAGTGAAATATAAGAGTACCTACTATGTGTAACTATTGAAAGCAGTATGGAAGAAACACAAGACAGACTTTGCACCTTCTGGAGGCTGTTTGTGACACATGCCTGATCCCAGGAGACAGCAGGCTCAAAGTTGAAGGAACAAGACAAGAGTGTGGTTGGAATTTGCAGAAAGGAACTAGCAGAACAGTCAAGCAGGCCTACAGCCACAATCCTTGGCAAGACCTGTGTGCAGAGCAGGGTGAAACACATACCCAGCTTGGCCACCTTGTTTGGCACACTGAAAAGATGCTACCATTGTTATGATGTCTTGTTCATAGTAGGTGCTTTGTATGGGAATATATATCTATTTATCCACTCCTCCTCCAGGAAAAAGATTTGCCTTCTTGGTTATGTGTAGTCATGTGTTCATTAAAAAAAATGTTTATTGGGTGCCTTCCAAATCCTGGGATAATATGCAGCTACCTCTGCAGGGTAAGGCATGTGGAATTGAGATGAGCAAATGGCTGGAGGACAGCCATCTGGCCACTGCAGACTTCTCTGACCAACAAGGGTTAAGCCTTGATCACACCTCTGACACCACTGTGGATGCCACTGCTCTGCTTGCTCTGGGCCTTCTGGTCACTCTGGTTGGTGGTGACCTCCCTTATATCCTACGCAGGTGGTGACAATGCCAGAGTACCTGAAGAAGCGATTTGGAGGCAAGCGGATCCAGGTCTACCTCTCTCTTCTGTCCCTGTTGCTCTACATTTTCACCAAGATCTCGGTGAGTCCACTGGCTGTCTCAGAACTTGCCCACTCTTTCTCCTTAGCATGTGCTGGTCCAGCAAGGGACAGCACTATATGTTTCCATTAACTCGATTCCTTAAGCCTTCTTACTCCTTAGGGTAAAGTCCTATTTCATGCATCAAGGAGCCAATATGTGAGATTCCTTAGCCTCCACTGTGGACAAGGTTGAAAACATAAACAGATTCAGGAAGGTTCAGTGAAAGCTGAATAGAAGATTATAAGGAAGTTAGGGATGTCTGAAGCCTGGCCCCAAATGTAGAGGTGGTTGCTGTGGGCCTTTGTGCCCTGTCAGGGTCAGGATCTGCTTCCAGGTGACATTTCTGATGCTCTTAAACATGAGCAGTCAGTGACAACCCTTGAGGGTACGTCAGAGATTCTCCCTCTTCTTTTATGGACAGGGAAACAAAAACCTTGGGTATGGGAAGTACTTGCTCAGGATCTTGAATCAAGAATAGAACCCAGAACTCTGACTCCAGCTTGCTGTCCTTTTTACTGCACGAGACTTCTTATATTCACTTGGAATCAGCTCCCTGGGCCTTCAGTTGCTAACCCTCTGGGGGATTTCTACTCTCTTTGAACCCAGGTTCTGGGGCTGCTCTCCTTACCATTTAGCCTGTCTCCCTGTCAACCTGAAGTTGCAGGCTCCAATTTGTAGGGCTGCGATATCTCAGGGATTGGTTGGCCATTGAGAGCTGTACAGAGCTCTGGGCTGACCCACTGGAGTGAGTCTTATATTCTTTCTTCAATTCACTTTTCCTTCCTTAAAAGTGTGCAAGTCAACTGCTTTTGATAGTAAAACAAAACAGAAGAGCCAGGAGACCACTGAAGTTCTGAGATATTTCCCTCACAGCCCAAAAGATGGCAGGAAGAAAAAACTTTCCTTATAGGTTTTGCCTGGTATATATATATTTTAATTCTCAAGGTGAGGTGAAAAAAAGAGAAAGAAGGACAATGTGAATGATAGGGTATAAGAGAAAGAAATCAGGACCTTGGTAAGAAAACTATGTAGACAAGTAATTGGAGGAAGTATAGGGTTGTGGAGGAGGAGCCTGGGCTCCAGGTCTGCTCCCTGCTCACCAGCCGGTGACCTGGGGCAAATGGTGTATTGCTTTACCTCTCCGGAGCTTAGCTTCTTCATGGGTAAGATGGGGATGACAATTGCTACCTTGCCTACCTCATTGTCTGGTAGTGAGGATCAAATGGATTTATTTGAAAATACAAAGTGTCATTGAGATGTAAGATAAGATAATGAACATGAGAACCCTTTACAGTCTCTGTGAGAAGCTCCCTGGGTTGCTTTAGCATCCTAACCTAGCTAGAGAGAAGGCTGTATATTTTGGATACTAGATCTTTGTCAGATAGATGATTTGCAAATATGTTCTCTCATTCTGTCAGTTGTCTTTTCACTTTCTTAGTAGTGTCCTTTGATGCACAAAAGTTTTAAATCTTGAAGTTCAATTTATCTTTTTCTTCTTTTGTTGCTCATGCTTTTGGTGTTATTTCTTAGAACCCACTGCCAAATCCAAGGACAGGGAGAGAAGTGGCATTTTCTGTGATCACAAGAGAATGGCTCCAGCTTTCTCCCTTAGCCAGCAGCTTCAAAGTGCTCACTGCTCTATCAGAGGGGTTATTTCTTTGGCTATGGTCAGTTTTCTTCCTTTTTCTTGTCTTTCTCTATCCAGCAGCAAAGCTGAGATTAGACCAATCTCATTACCTTGCAAAAGATCTTCTCTGGCTAAAATCTGAGTCCGGTTGGATCTGAATTGAACTTTCTGCTCTTGTTAGGTAGGGTTATGAAAAACAGCTGCTTGCGTTTTCATTTTCCTGCTTACTTAAAGCAGAGAAAGCAATATAAAATAACATTTGCATTTTTTTTTTTTTTTTAGTTTTGGAAAATTTCAGACATACACAAGCAGAAATAGAATTGTATAATGAGCACTCATGGACCTAATACTCATCACTCTGCTTTAATAATGATCAACATTTTGCCATTCTTGGTACATCTATCCTTTTCTATTTTTTTAATCAATATTTTAAATCAAGTCCTAGACATCATGTCATTTCACTGCAAATTCTTCAGAAGCACTTTGACTTTTAAAAACCTCAACTATTATGCTATTACCTACACAACAAAATTTTACAATTTCTTAATTTAGGTAGTTTAATATCTGGTCTATGTCCAGATTTTCCTGATTATATCAAAAATGTCTTCTTACAGTTGATCCAAATGATGTCTATACATTGCATTTGATTGTATTTTCTTTAAAGGAAATTATATATATGTGACTTTAGCCTGGCACAATTATTTTCCCTTTTATATTATTGCCTTCCATTCCTGGCCTACATGCACAAAATATGTTTTTTTAAATGTTTTATTTTATTTTTTAAAAATTTTTAATTAAGTTTATTGGTTACATTGGTTAATACAATTATATAATTTTCAGGTGTACGTTATCATTTGACATCTGTATATTATATTGTGTGTCACTCGATTGTTAGTCTTTTTTTCTTTTACTTAGAAAGAAGAAAATTATTTTTAATGAGCCAATTCACTTATTACACCGTTGAAGGCTAATCAAGTCATGTGATTAATAATATTCCCTTAAAATTGCATTCTGGGATTTCATTAAATCTAAATGCAATCTAAAATTGCATTTAGATTTAATGAAAAACACTTGGAAGCCATTGAGTGCTGTGGGAAGTGTTTAGTTATGGTCCCTGTTTATGAATTAGCATGAGTTGATAGTTGATGTTGAAAGCTAAAGTTTTTTTTCTTTTTTGTGACAATGTTTCATACAAACTGAAACAGAAAAATTGACAAACCTCAGAGGATATTTAGCCTGCAAAGGAAGCCAAAAGCCAGAGGCTGGAGAGGCTGAAGAAAACATGGAGCCCAGCAGGTGGCAATAGAGACCCTTCTCTTCCCTCCATGTGCAAGCAATTAAAGTTATCCATCTTCTTAAACCATCATGAAGACAAACCTAATTTTAATTACCTAGGCTCTCCTTGTCATGGAAACAAGAATAGGTGGAGTCTGCATAGAGTAGGAGGAATAAAAGCTTGTACATAAAATCTGAGCCCTTGAGTAGGCCTTTGGTTTCCCAAGTCACTGAAGACTTCCATTTATAAAGAACAAACTTTTTAAAAATTTTATTTTATTATTAATTTTAAGTATACAGTACATTGGTTTGACATTTATATAATTTGTAAAACAATCCCCCTAATTGCTCTTTCTTCTGGCTCTCCACCTTGCCATTACATTAATACTAACTGCATTTCTTATGCGTGTTTGTCTTTTTTGCTGTTGAGTTGAATTTTTTTTTTTAATATTCTCGATAGTAGACTCTTATCAGATATATGATTTACAAATATTTTATCCCAATCCGTAGGCTGTCTTTTTACTTTCTTGATAGTGTTACACAAAAGTTTAAATCTTGATGAAGTTCATTTTATTTACTTTTACTTTTGTTGCTCATACTTTTGCTGTTACTGAATTCATTGATTCAGTGACACCAAAAAAATCCGCTGCAAAAGCCAACGTCGTGAAGATGGACTCTTATGTTTACTCCTGAGTTTTATAGTCTTAGCTCTTCTACTTTGGTTTTTGATCCATTATGAGTTCTTTTTTCTGTGAGGTAGGGGTCCTACTCCATTCTTTTGCACGTGGATATCCAGTTCTTCTAGCACCATTTGTTGAAGAGACTGTCATTTCCCCATGGAATGGTCTTGCATATATATTTTTTTACACAACTCAATGAAAGCACACTCTTGCCTAGAGGGCCAGTAGGGCTTTGTCTCGGCGTTGGGACCAGTGCCCTGGATTACTCCCTGCTCAGCTTCCTGATTTAAATGGCTACTGCCCTGGTTGGTGCCTTTGTGCTTTCCCTGCCAATGGGACAGTTCCACCTGTTTCACTTTCTCCTCCTCTCCTTCAGGGTTAGTTTTTAGTTACAAGATGAAAACCCTGGGTTTTACTATTTTATTAGAGAACAGTGTGCAGAGCCTGCATTAGAAAGTGCTGGGACGGGTGGAGAAGTCAGTTTTCCTGAGAGAGGGGAGGGCAGCAATATAAAAGGAGAAAAAGGAGTGTAAGCAGCAAGGGTGGAATTCGCAGGAAGTTGGTAAAGGAACAGCTCCTCTCTTCAGCTTGTGAGGTGGCACCTACCTAATGAGCATGTAGAGGACAGCACTTGGACTCCCCTTCTTGGAAGCAAGACTTCTCCAAGTCCACAGTTCAAGCTGGTTAAAGTCTGTTGACTACAGTTGCCATGGAAAGGGCACTTTTTGTTCTCAAAGCTTGTGTAGGGGTAGTCATATAAATAAATGAAGTGCCCAGCCTCACTCCCTGCCTCCCCAATCGACTCATCTATTGTTTGGGTTACTGATTAAACCTTCCTGGACTTGGAAGCTCCTAGGTAGTGAGAGACATCCTCCTTTAGCTCAGGTCCTGATGGAGCCCATTCCCTAGCAGTCACCTTTTTCTGTATTTTGCTTTTAAATAGTACTTGGTGTAGGCTGCTCTCTCTCTCTCTGTGTGATTTCTGGGGCATCTTCCTGGAGGCCTTGCCGGGTGTCCTACCTGTTCCTCCTGCTTCCAAGAACCAGCAATCCCTTGAATAATGCCCAAGAAAGATGATAGCTGCCCTTTACTCAATGCCAGTCTCTTCTTAGTCTCCAGTAGGGGCTTTACTTATCCTATCTCCAATTCTCATAAGAGTACTGCACGAGTAGGAATTTTAATTTCATTTTCCACTTTCTGGAAGAGAAATGTGAGTCTCAGAGAAGTTAGATAATTTGTCCCAAATCACACAGCTAGTGTATGGCAAAGCCAGGATTGAAACCTAGTGTCTCTAGTTCCAAAGTCTGTGTTCTCCTCACAGTTCTGCTCTGTGGATGGAATGAAGGCGTAGGATGACAGAATGGGATAGATCATTTAGTCCTATGTCCTATGTTCTCATTTTATGAATGGGGAAACTG